GTGGTGCTGACAGATGGCAAGCATTTGCTAGCCTTGAACTTGGTTTGCTTGCCGCGAGCTCCGGACAGAAACACTGCATGTAAGTAAGCTCAGAACCGGAGCGAGGAAGACGTGGGATCTGGTGTCGTTTCCTTGGCTGTTTCTCTCAAGGCTTCCTTCGAGTAGTCAATTCTCCATCCGATAATTCGTTTCGCGAGGCACTATCTCGTGTCCGTAGCTCGTTCCCAGTGGGGAGATGAAGGTCAACCGGCGAAAAGGTAATTGATCAGCCCTATCCTGGCGTGGGATCCCACTACGACACCATTCACCTCCTCTCCTCAGTTCTGATTACGCCCCCTCTTCCACATTCCGCCCAATTTCCATCGGGTTGAATCGAATTTACCGTTGACATCCACAACTCACCATTGAGTAACCCGCAACTCTCGCCCGTTATTCATACGTTGTTCTACCGCTCATCGTTTGTCTTTGCCATCCAAGCGCTTGGCTTTCGAGGCTTTATCTTTGGGTAGCTGATGACAAGACCTCGAACGACGACCCCTGACGACGCGGATCGAAACCAGCCTGTGTTTCACCAAACGACCCCAGATCCCTCCCCCGCAGCAGCTGTAGCGTGTCGCTCATCGTCCCCCACGAGTATCGAGCCTTAACCGCTGTTCGTCTGAAGAGAGGTGACCCCAGCCAGTAATAGAGGCAGCCGGAGGAGAGACCCGACAGGAAGACTCGACGGAGACGACAGCGCGGCCATCCGACCCTCTTTCGCAGCTATTCGTCTCTGGCCTGCGATTGCTGGTCGAGAACGGGATAGCGTTGCACGCCAGGACTGGGCGGACATACAGACAGCCTCTGACAGCCTCTGACAGCCTCTACCAAAGCAGCCATCGGCAGCACCCTAGCATCAAGCCGTAAGCGAATCCAGCTCTCCAGCTCGCGAGGAGTATCCGTACGGCGACCTGGGTTGACTTGTGCACAGCCCCAAGGAAGCCCCTCCAAGAAACCCAGACCTAGACCCAGTCACCCAGCGCGGCATCCGCTTCTGCAGGTTGGGTAGCCAATCCGAACCAATCCATCTGTTCTTCTGCCTGTTGCTCTGGTGGTGGTGCTTCCTTTGGCGGGCACCTGCACACGTAGGTTAGATTGAACTTGGGTGAGAAGTGGACAGACAGGGTCTCGCAGACGCAGAACCGCAGGCGCAGGCGCAGGCGCGCAAAAAATAGGAACAGGGACCAGCAGGACGGGCTGATCAATCTCTCGTCTTGCCATCCTCTTGCTTCCCTTTCTTGCTTGCCGCTGGTTGCTAGCTGTCATTGCTTCTGCCACTGCATCTCGACCTTGCACATCGACGGACAGACAAGATTCGAGCCGACATTTGACTGAACCAAGCTGAGCTGAAGCGAAGCCTGTCCCGCTACGTTGCTGCGTACCCCCGGAAGCAAGCAAGCAAAGCTGCACGTTCGGTCCACCATCCGGTCTTGTGTATCTGTCTGTCTCTGCTTTCTCTCATTTTCAGTCTGTTCAGTCAATCAGTCAGTCAACCCACGGGCTGTGCCATTTGGCATACCTAGGACGATCGATCTGCTTGTTCCCTTTTTACCCGCAGTGTTCCAGTGGAGGGCAAGCGTCCCAAACAAGCAACAAGGGAACAAGAAAAAAGCCAATAAACAAAAAAAGAAGAAGCCAAGTTGGACTGCGGCGGCTGCGCACAACGACATCACAGTTTTATAATGCCGGCCTTCGGTCGCATTGGAAGGCACCACAACCGCTCGCAGCAAGCACTTGTTGATCCGGGCGGAGAGGTTGCTGCTGGATCTGGTTCAGGTTCAGGTTTAGGAGGTTCAGCGGCATCACATCCCACGCCTGGTCCTTCTGGTTCTGCGCCGCCTTCCGGCCCTGCTGGTGCCGCCGGTGCTCCTTCCTCCTCATCTCACTCTCACTCCTCCTCCCTCGTTCCTGCCTTGAGTGCAGGCTCTGGCACAACCACGGCCAACAACGCCGCCGGCGCTAATAGTCTCAATCAAATTACCCCCCATTCAGCCTCGTCGACCGCCTTCAGCTCCAGCGAATCCTTTGACATCCACCCAAACCAGCTGGCTGCTCATCAACAACATCAGCTCCAACAGCAACAGCAGCAGCAACTCCTTCAACAACAACACCAGCAGCAGCAAGGGCAGCAAGGGCCATCTCCACTGCAGCAGCCCCACGATTACCATCCTCCTGCCTCGACCTCGCGCAACTCCCTCCTATTGCAGCACCACAATCCACCCATAGCTGATTTGCGCCAGAGGAGTCAGCAGGATTACACCGACTCCGTCTCCCGCTCCCAGTCACAGCGCTACCCGCCCGGCGTGGCCCCCTACTCCAATAACGCCAAACCTGGTGCTGCATCTAGCTCCGTCGACAACCTCAGAACTTCCGTCAACAGCACCTCATCTGCTCCCGCCTCCGCTCAACCTCAAGCAACCTCACCTCTTCCGCAACAGCAAACCGTCCCCGTCCCCGAAAAGCGATCTGCACGAAAGCTGCTCAGGAACATTTTGGGCGGATCGGGCCGCGATCATCACAACACCCCGCCCCCCCAACCTACCCCGCCAAGTTCCTACGATAACACCGGTGGTCTTGCTCGCCGACCGTCCAAAAGAGTGAGCAACCCACCACCCGCAAGAATTACTTTGTCCCAGCAGCCGTCTCAGCAGTCCTTGGACCAACAATCTGTCGACTGGCCACTTACGGCTCCTCATCAACAACCCTCCCCATTGCAGGGCGTCGGCGAGATCGAGCATCACCAATTTGCACAAGACCCTAACAGAGACCCTCGTCTACAGAACCCCGATTCCAATCGCAACTCCATTCGCTACGTCCCGACCGACTTCGACAATACCCCCTACGAAGAAGCCGATTACGGAGATTGCCAGCCACAGCAGATCCCGACCGTACAGGAACAGCACCAACACGGTCAGCAGCCTGCTTACGACCCCTCACAGCAGCAGTACCAGCAACAATACTCCAACCAGCAGCCTGGTCAGTACCAAGCTGGACCACCAGCGATCTACACTAGTCACTTGGGTGCCGGTTCGCATCAAAACCCCGAGACTGTTTCCCAGTTGTCGCATGAATCACCCATCACCGATTCAGACGCTCTGTCGGCAAACGTACATTCCAACCAAACTTCCCCCGCAGTGAGGTACGCCGTACAGACCACAGATAGCCCGCTGCCTCCCACGCTTCCCCCTGCCCAGCAAGGAGGACCTCAAGCCCAGCAGCAACAGCCGCAGCAGCAGAATATGGCCCCTCCCTCTGGCGGCCCTCCCCCGAACAGACGATCCCAAGAGACAGAGAAGGCATTGCGCAGTCAGGTCGACGCATCTGCAGGGCCTCCCGGTTACAGACAAAGCCAGACCATGCCTCCAACCACTGGCAGTGCCAACGCTGCCTTCCGACCCGGCGGTGCTGCAGACTCGCGGCAGTTCGAAGGCGCCACCGGAGAGCAAGGCCGGAACAGCCCGCAGCCCTCCAACCCCGATCGCGATGGCACAGATCCCGACAAATTCAAGGAGCTTCGTAAGGAGGACATGACTGCTGTGTTGGAAGCGTACTAACAAGTCATAGTAACTAAGTATAAGAATGTTAAGCGGTTGTACTTTGACGGCAAGACCCAGATCGATAACCTCAACTCTCAAATTGAGGTGCTGCAAAATGCAGTCGCCAACCAGCGAATGTCACAGTCGCGAACTGCCCTCGACGACAGCGAATATATAACGAGATTCAGCCGTCTGAATGGTGCTATCAACAACCTCTCGTTCAATATTCGGAAAGACTGGCGTACAGTACCGCAGTGGTTAGACATGTTCGTCAGCATTGATGCTCTTAAGACCGGAAAACAGGAGATGACAGCCGTTGGTCGTGCCGTCATTACCAGGTGGATTGTAGAAGAGATCTTCAACAAGTGCTTCCACCCCGGCCTCAACTTCGAGCTCAGCCGGCAGCTGAAGGAGATTGAGCTCAACATCCGCCGTTTCTCGTACACGATGAGCAGCCAAGAAGAGTTCGATGCATTGACAAATAAGGTCGTGAGCTGGCGAATGGCTACCCTTGAGGGTCTGCAGAGAGTTCTCAACTCCCCGGAGAGTGCAGACAACAGGGCGGACTTTACCCGAATGTGTACATCGAACCTCACGGCGACACTTTTCCAGTACATGACAGACCCGCCGCCAGCTGGAGTGGACGGCAGCGCATCCATGATTGTTGAATTGGCCGTGGGCATCGCAGCCAACCTGCCGCTAGAGAGCAGAGATGTCGCAATCAATTATCCCCTACCTGGAGACCCAATCCAACTCAACATCATGGATGTTGAGAAGACGCCGCTCCCACCTTTGGAAATTCAGAAAGCGGAGGGCGAAGCAGAGGCCGACGAAGGCGATAAGGACAAGAGCGGCAAGAATCAACGCGCGGACAAGACCAAGAGCGGTATGTTCACAAATATACTCAGCGGTGGACCGCAGGCGGGCCGCAAGGGCAGCACTGCGTCGTCAATCGTTGGCACAAGTACTGATACCGCCCTTCCTTCAGCTCTTCCCCCTAAGGACAACAACACGGTGAGACTTGCGGGATTTCCAGTAGTGGAAGTTCGTGGTCGCCAGGTTCTTGTCAAGGCAACTGTTTGGGCACTTTGAGCGTGAGAAGCTGAGTGCGAAGAAAGATGCTTTGGTGACTTGGCGGCAGTCCATGTAGATGAGCAGTCTTTCCAATCGACTTTGCTGCGTTGGGAGCATGGAAAGAGGTTCATACTGGTCGAAGAACCTTGGCCGAAAGGAAGGGGACAGGAGTCAACCATCGACAATGCGGATGGAAAGGGGCGGAATTCATGACTGAAGATTCACATTCATACCAGAGGGAACACTTGGATGTCTGCTCTCTATTGAAAACAGAGAGCCTAGATAGTCTCCAGGGTACCTTCACAAGTTGCTTGCTTTCTTGCCGTTTCTCACAATTACCCCATTCCTATTTTACGAGCGTGTGCTGCCCAGATAGCCGCAACGCACCTCAGGCTTGCGGCTGGAATCCCCCTTTGGCTCGATCAGGACACACGATGCGCCGTCGAAGGGACACTAAGGGTTGATGTCAGCTCGTGCAACTTGGAGGTACAATCACATCCGTGATAATTCAAGATGGGCGACTGACTCTGTTGTAGTCCGCCGGGCAGACCTGGGCATCTCGTCCTGTCAAGTTACATTTGTTGCTCATCTGCGTACAAGTCTATTGCAAACCGACATCAGCCTCTCGCAAACGAATGTTCTGGCATGTTTGCTCGGGTATACTTAGGAAAGACTTACACCTCTGGTTCTGGTCTCTTCCTGGCCCGGGGTTTGTCGCGCTCCGAGATGAACCTGACGGCGGTCGATGTGGTGTGCTGGCGCGACGGCGCCGCTTGCGCTGAGAGTGAGGAGAAGGAAGAGAACGAAGCTGAGGAGGAAGTGGAAGTTGTACATTGTTGTTTCCGCTTTTACGAAAAGTTGCTCTCGGCCGTGGAGGAAGTACGACTCTAGGACCTGATGGACAATGGCCGAGGTTCGTCGGGTTTTCGATTAGCGATTATCCTACTCGATTCGTGATGGAGCGAGCGCCAAGAGCTGGCTCTCTAATTAACTGATTTGGGGATAAAAGTCTCCAATATAAGCGTGGCGATGCGCCAAAGAGAAGAAGAGAACGAGTGGATGAGGAAAAGAAGGGCGACGGACTGTCACGGTGTCAGTGTGCGCCGTGTGTCTGTATATGAACGAACCTCACGACACCAGACGAAACGTCACCTTTCTCCTCTCTCCCCCCTGCCCCAAACCCCCTCCTCTCTGTCAGCAGCGCGCGGTCGTGCTCTCTACACATTGGATAATTGAGACGAAAAGTATCACAGCAAGCAACACATGTGTGGCGATGCCCTCCGCTGGTGTGGGAGGTTCTTGGGTCACCGGGCAAATGGGGTTTGTACAACACAAGCCCCTCTCTCTCCTCTCCCTCATCCAGAGAAGTCATCATATACCAGGCTGTGCGTTTTTTCTCAGCTTATGTGTACCTGCACTTCTCTACCCCCTCGACGCACGCGGTCACCTTGCCGTCGAAACGGGTTTGCATCTCCTTGCTGCGAGAGTATTTGCAGGTTCAGGAGACTGAGGGGAGAGAGGCTCGTGTGGGTGCAGTAGCTTGTCTGGTGTATGTTCTACCACTTGCACCGCACCAACTATTTTGGAAACGTCAATGCTCCCACTGACCTGTTTGTTGATTTCTACTTTCTGGTCTGATTCTTGAGGCAGCAGAAACGGATCAAGCTACCTTATCCCAAAAAACGCGGGTGACAAAGCAGTGCCATTTAATTAATTCCATCAATCTACCAAATACAGCTCTGTCGTCTCTCTCCTCCCCTCTCATAAGAGTCTACCCCGCAGGTCGCTCATAACCGCCCTTTGGCTTTGGGCTCTTGTTCTTCCAAACCCATCCGACCAATGTTGAGCTGCCAGATGCTATAACCTTTGACCCTACAGCAACTTTCCGATTCAACCCCTCCATTGCCAGGGCAAGGATCCCTGGCACCTCCGAGCCAGAACAGAACAGAGACCAGGCAAGGAAGTGGGGGGTGTCCCACCCACCAACCAAAAGAGCTTCACCGCCTTCCACTCCGGGTCGAAAATGGCACAACACCCCGCCAAACGTCTTTCGCGATGGCATCAAATTTGGACTCAAAGTGTCAGGTTGGAGGATAACTGATCATTATCCAACTTCTTGGCACACAGATCTCTTTATTTACCAAGATACTACACCAAAGTCTCTGACTCCTGTCCTGACCATACGGCACCTAAAATGGCACCTACCCCAGCACACCTGGAGCCCTCCAAGCTCGGAACAAAAGAATAGTTCGTCACTCACTCGCCCTCTTTTGGCCCCTCCACGGCACCGATGAATGACCATACCCCTACTCATACAACACCCAACTAACGAGTCCACTGAAACAGCTGGGCATCACTCTACACAACTGAACTCACAAACAATGCTCAGAACCCAGAAGACCGCGGCACAGTCTGGTTCGACGACTCGGACGCCGAGTCAAAGCTCCTAACCTACCTCGAGGACCTCACCGAGTCCGCCCCCTTCGACCACTCCCTCCGTCAAGCCGACGCCACCTTCCTCGACCTTGGCTGCGGCAACGGCTCCCTCCTCTTCGCCCTTGGCGACGAGGGCTGGGCCGGCCGCGCTCTCGGCGTCGACTACGCCCCGCAGAGCGTCGAGCTCGCGCGCCGGATCGCGGCGCAGAGGCAGCAAGCTTCCGCTGCTGCTGACAAGGAGGATGAGGACATGTCCGACGCACCCGCCGGGGATGAAGACGACGAGGCAGACGCCAAAGAGCCAGAATTCGAAGAGTGGGATGTCCTTAACGGACCCTGGGAAACCGTGCTCAACGGACCCCAAAAGGACGGATGGGACGTCGTCCTCGACAAGGGCACCTTTGACGCAATCTGCCTCAGCGACGAAAAGGACGCGCAAGGCCGGCGCATCTGCGAGGGATACAGGGGCCGCGCGCTCCGCCTCGTCAAGCCCGGCGGCCTGCTCCTCATCACGAGCTGCAACTGGACAGAGGAGGAGCTTAGAAAATGGTTCGAGGGCCCTTCCAACGAGGGAGATGCGGGCAAGTTTGTTGCTGTGGGCAAGGTGGATTACCCTAGCTTCACCTTTGGCGGAGCCAAGGGACAGACCATTAGCAGTTTGTGCTTCCAGAGGCAGGCATAGCCAAGGTAGAACGTCATGCAACGAGTTAGACGAATGTCAAGACCTTCAAGATACCCCGCAAAAGAACGTCGGTCACGACGGTACTAGATAACATTCTTCGTTATTGCATCCCGTTTCTCTGACGGCTGCTGGTGTATCATACAATGTGTTTCTTTAATGGGTGAATGTCAGGCAACGTCACCTACGCTCAACCACGCACGTCCTCCATTGTGCCCCGTCTATGGGCGCTTCCGTGCCCCTGGAGACATCTCTCCTCATGTTAAGCACCAGTGAAAACCTCGCCTCTCTCTGTCTAGTTAGTCTTCTTTTTTTCTGTAAAGCCTGACAGGGGAACCGGAGTGGCACCCAGCACCGTGTAGCGTTTAGTCGAAGCACGCAAGGTAAGAGTCTTAGGACGGTCCTGATAAAAAGACTGGGAATTGCTTCATTACGTCTCTCATCTATGGTGATGTATTCATAGGTTCGCCAGAAGAAGGTCCAGACACTTGGTTCGCAGACGTTGTCGCAAAGTACCGCACGTCGACGTCGTCGTCCTTCTGCAGCTTCTCGAGCTTAGGAATGACGCGTGTTTGAATTAGCTCCATGCCTCTGGGAGACGCGGTGAAGCTGCCGCCCTCCTTCTCCAGGGAGTAGATCGTACCCTCTTCAGGCAAACGGCGGAGGACGTCAATCAGAACGCCATATGTCTTGGCGACGTTAAAGCGAATGTTGGGGATCTCATCGTCAACGAGCTTGTCCAACATGGGCAAGATCTTGTCAGCAATGACATCAAGGCTCACAACAGAAGCAAGAGTCTGCAATCATTAGCATCTCTGGTACGATAGAGACGAAGACGACAACTTACGGTGATGGCAAAGGCGGTCGTCATTCGGTAGAGGTAGTTGGGATGGTTACCCATGGCCATAACCTTGGGAATGATCGCCTCGCTCGCCCACTCGACTCCAAAGACCTCTGTAAGCTTCTTCAGGTTGTGCGTCGCCGCCTCACGGATCGAGAAGACGGTATCGCCCAACCAGCTCATGCAGAGGTTGCTCAGCTTCTCATCGAAGAACTTGACTCCGAGCTGGCTGGCAAGAAGAGGGATGTACTCGATGATGGCCAGTCTCACACGCCACTGCTTGTCCTCAGCAAGCTGCACAATGGCGGGCAAAAGAGACTGGGAGAGCAAGTCGATCCCGATGACTGTAGAGGGGTTAGTAAGATGCTTTTGTTTTATGAAGCTAGCACATACCCTGGTTGACGAGCTCAAGCTTAGAAATAATGTGGAGGCGAACTTCGGGGAACTCGTCCTTCAGCATTTGCAAGAACATAGGCAGAAGGTGATCGATAGTTCTGTGACGAGTTAGTCGATTGTGGCGGAAATGTAGCTTTTATGGAACCTACTCTTGCTTTCCCAAGATGGGTGCGAGACCGCTGATCTGGGTACCGAGAGCAGCTCTGACATGCTGGGAGGTGTCGGAAACGAGATCCTCCACGCTACTCATGATATCATTCAGTAGGACAGTGCGGTCAACAAGCGCGCAGAATCCTGGTATTTGTCCAGCAATCGCAGTCCGGACTTCTGCCTCGTTGTCCTTGAGGAGCTTCACGAAAGACGGCACCAGATCCCTTGAGACGACCTCCTCATCGACAGCCTTGGAAATCTGTTTGCGCATTAGCGTAGCCCTCCATACGAGCGTATTTGCTCCTGCCAACCTTCTCAAATCTGTCTGCAATCATGTACCGAACCCTCCAGCTCTTGTCCTCGATCAGGTTTCGCAGAGAAGTGAGGAGAACACCGTGGCTCGACTGCTGCTCCTTGGGTACGACCTCGGCGATGGAAATGAGGATCTCGACGGTAAGTAGGCGGACGCTGTCCTGGTCGTCCTGGGCGAGGTGCTGGAAAAGGGGTATCATCTCTTCAACAACAATAGCGGCCGGCATCTCCTTGACGAACTTTGCCAGATTGGTGGCAGCTTGGCGTCTGACCATGGGTGTCTCATCGTGAACAAGCTGTCCAAACTGCTTTCGGAGGTCTTCTTGAATGCCCGGGGACACCTTCTTGTAGGGCGATGTGTAGAGACCGCAGCCAGACACCTTGGAAGTGAACCAGTCTGCTTTTGAAAGTCGGATGGTCAAAGGGATGAAGTATTCTTCGACTTGCTGGGAGGACAGCTCCTCGCAGATCTTGTTGAGGGACTCGACGGCCTGCTTTGATTAGGCGATGTGACTGGCCGGTGGAGCAGGGGGCAATAGCTACCTTGTCCCGCACGACGGGCTCCTCGATGGCAGCGAGGTTCTCGAGGGGGGAGAGGAGGACATGACCCCATTGGGCGCCTCCGACATACTCGATGAAGTTGCCCAGCTCGCCGCTGAGAGCGACTAGCACCTCATCCTCGTCCTCGACGGACTCTGTTTAAAAGTTTAGATATTGGCTCACAGAGGGATGGATGCGCACGACATACCGTCGAGGAAGGGAATCAATTCCTCACGCGTGCGCTCGGCGCCCAGGGCGAGGGCGATGGTGGAGAGGCGGTGGATGGCATTGAGACGCAGGAGGACATCGTCGTGCTGAATCGCGAAAGGTTAGCAATATGTTGTGCGCTGGCGGCTGAAGGCTGACGTCGGGGCTGGGCTAGACAGGCAGAGTCACCGCCATACCTTTAGCTCGTCGATGAGGACGGCGATGGGGTAGAGCTCGTCCTGGGTATTCGGCGCGTCTGCCATGACGAGCGAGGTTGCGCAGGCGCGTTTATCGATGGGAGGGTCGGATGATGTTCAGGAGAGTCGACGTCGTGGTTGTGAGCGATCGGGGTGGATCGCGTGCGGGTGATGCAATGGGTTGGTTGAGGGCGAGCGGCGGTCGTTGTGGGATTGGGGGGGCTCTAAAATCTGAGACGACGCAACCGGGATAGTGGTGTGGCAGATGTTATCAGGAAGTTGCGGTCATGCAGACCATGCCAACGATCCGACGTCAAGTTGGCGAAAGGCACAGCTAGTTGTCGTGGTGAGGTTCGTGTAGCAGTGGTGGAGGAGAAGCGTGGTCAGGTGTTGATTTGAGATAGATAGTGGAAGCACAAGGCATGGGAAGGGAAGTTTGACGTGCTGTTTCTGAGGTTCGTCTTTCGCTTCTGCTCCAGGTCCTGTCCCACCCGACCAGAAATGGGCTACCTTACCGCACCTAAATTATCAGCTGCGGTGGCCACCTCAGTCGTTAGGTGATGGGCAACAGCATTTCCAGGCGCCTAGGAGAGCCTGTATCTGTGACCGCCTTGGGCAAGGTCTGGCATAGGGAAGGTACGTACCGGTACTTTCTTGGTGGTGGATGTCGTAAGGCAGGGGTGCAGGAGCCAGGAGGAGGTGCTCTTTCCTTTCTTCTGGTGAGGGGCTGTAGGCTGGCTGTTGCTGCATCTTCGTAGGTAGCAGCTGGAAAGTGGACTTGCAGTACCTTAGGTACCAACTGACGTATCGCTCTTCCAACTTCCTCACGTTCCTTGGAACTTTCTGCGCCCTCCGTCGCCAATGCAATCGGCACAATAGTTAGCGCTCTTCTACCTATTTTCAAGACATCTAAACTTTCAAGTCCGGCTTCATTCCTTCTTGGCCTGATGAGGTGTTCCCCGGGTGACCTGCCGAGGAGGGGTCATTCAGCATGCAGCTCAGCTACCTCACAAAAGGTACTTACTATGCACCACGTTCATGGAGGGGAGGGGGGCTATGGGACAGCTACATCATATCTAACGTCGTTCTGAGTCTGTGTGCTCGGAAGCGCATGGTTGTGATTGAGGCAGGAAATCGGAATCCAGCACTTTCTGCGCTGCGAGAAGTTCGACCAGCACCTACCTACCTACCTTCCTACCTTACCTTGAGTCACCGCTGTGGGTAGCTACGAGCTGTCAGTGAGGCACCTGCCAAACTTTCCCGTTACCAGCAAACAGCTCAGGTGTCGACGGCATGTCCCTCCCACCTTCCACCAGCGGCGAAACATGTCGTGGCAGGAATGTGCGCACGGCTGGATGCACTGGTCGCCAGCTGTCGATGGGCCTGCACCGAAGAGGCATATGGTGATTTATGGCTTCCATTTCTCCTGCGTGCGTTGTGCTGCGCTGCTGCCCGTCCCAGTGTCGGTTCACACGGACCACTCTCTGACATCGGACCCTGGAAAATTGAGATGCCGAGGACGACCGCTGCTTTTGCTGCCCCTCAACCCCGCAGCCCCTCCAATGGGTGCGATAAAGTCGAAATGACTCCCACCGACCTCTTAAAGCAGCAACTTCATCCCGCCCCGGCGAACCTTCCATGCATGTATGCAGTTGCTTCACCTCCGAGTATCCCCAAAATTTCTGTGACTCAAGGCCATATTGGAGACGGAAATTGACCATTGCTTGAATCCTCTCCTGCCCCTGACGCCAGCCAGACCTCTGCACCCTCGAGAGACTCTCGCCAATTCTCACCATGCCTACCATATCCGTCAACAAGTACGATTTGTACAAGGCCCTAGGCCAAAAGTGAGTTGCGCAGTGCTGGCACCGTCCGCCCCCGATCTAGACATCTTGACCCCGCCATCCCCAGACTGCCTTTTGCTGATCGTTATCCGCACAGCTTCACCACCCAAGAGTTCGAAGACCTATGCTTCGAATTCGGTATCGAGCTCGACGAGGACACCGAGAATGACGACCGACCGATTGTCAATGGCGTGCAGGAGCCGCCCCAGCTGAAGATCGAGATCCCCGCCAACCGATACGACATGCTGTGCTTCGAGGGTATCGCGCTCATGCTCAACATCTTCAGAGAGAAGGTCGCCGCACCCAACTACAAGGTCGTAGAACCCAAGAACCCCGAAGCCTCCGTCATCACTGTCGCCGAGGATACCGGCAAGATCCGTCCCCTCGTTGCTGGTGCCATTCTCAGAAACATCAAGTTCACCCAGGAGAGCTACGACTCCTTCATCGGCCTCCAGGACAAGCTGCACATGAACTTGGCGAGACAAAGAACATTGGTGGCCATTGGAACCCACGACCTCGACACGATAGAAGGCCCCTTCACGTATGAGGCCCTGCCGGCCAAGGACATCAAGTTCAAGCCCCTGAACCAGACCAAGGAGATGAACGGCGAGGAGTTGATGCAGTTCTACGAGAGTGACAAGCATCTCGGCAGATACCTGCACATCATCAAGGATTCTCCCGTCTACCCTGTCATCTACGACAAGAACCGGACTGTCTGCTCGCTGCCGCCCATTATCAACGGCGACCACTCCAAGATCACCGTCAACACCAAGAATGTCTTCATCGAGATGACAGCGACGGACGCCACTAAGCTCGATATTGTCTGCGACATGATGGTCACAATGTTCTCACAGTACTGCTCCGAGCCCTTCACCGTCGAGCCCGTCAAGATTGTATCCGAGCACAACGGCGCATCAAGAACGACACCGACCCTCGCGCCCCGCACAATCGATGTCGAGATTGACTACCTCAACGCCTGCACCGGCCTTAGCGAGACACCCGAGAAGATGTGTCAACTCCTCAACAAGATGGCGTACATCGCCAAGCCCTCCGACAAGGACAGCAACCTCCTCAGCGTGTCGATTCCCGTCACCCGTGCTGATGTGCTCCACCAATGCGACGTCATGGAGGACTTGGCTATCTGCTACGGCTACAACAACCTCCCTAGATCTTCTCCCAACAAGAGCGCTACCATTGGAGCGCCTCTCATGATCAACAAGCTCGCTGATATTGTGCGGACAGAGGCCGCCATGTCTGGCTGGAGCGAGGTTATGCCTCTGATTCTGTGCAGCCACGACGAGAACTTCGGCTGGCTGAACCGCAAGGATGACGGCAAGACTGCTGTCAAGCTTGCCAACCCCAAGACTGCCGAGTACCAGGTCGTGCGGACATCCCTGGTCCCTGGTCTTCTCAAGACTATCCGCGAGAACAAGAAGCACAGCGTCCCCATCAAGATCTTCGAGTCAGCCGACGTCGTCTTCAAGGACGAGTCTCTGGAGCGCAAGGCTCGCAACGAGCGCCACTTCGCTGCTGCCTGGTACGGTAAGACCAGTGGTTTCGAAGTTGTTCACGGTCTTCTGGACCGCGTTCTCTTGATGCTCCGTACAGCTTTCCTCACGCATGAGGAGGGGCTGAAGGCGGGCAAGAGCGTCGACTTCAAGGTCGTTGAGAACCCCAGCAAGCCTGACGGCTACTGGATCGAGGAGATTGATGAGGCTACCTTCTTCGCTGGCCACGCGGCTGCCATCTACCTGCGTCTGGGTGGCAAGGAGGCGCGCATCGGCGAGTTCGGCATCTTGCACCCTACTGTGTTGGAGAAGTTTGACTTGAGGTAATACCGAGCAGCCCCCCACTTCCCACTCTAAATACGATAAATAACCATCGTATGCTAACGTTGGCGACAGATACCCTGTGAGCACCCTCGAAATCAACCTCGAGGTCTTCTTGTAGTGATGAAGCATGATGGGATACGGACATGATGAATGGCTACGGATAGTTTTCTAAAAACGTAAAAAAAGGCTTTGCTAGACGTAAGGCGGTCGGACATAGACTTTGTGCTTTACACTAGGCGAGCTAGATGAGGCAATAGGCACCCAAGAATAACAAAAAAAGATCAAATAACAAGGGAAAACCGCCGCCAGCTGCCCACCTACTGAGTGTGAGAGTATGTGCTGATAAGAGATTATGAGTTGATGTGCTCTACACACGTCTGGCGACCACTGCATGTCATCGCGTACATCGTTACGGGAACGAGGGTTAGCTTCAGACTGATTAGAATTATGGAATCGAGAGTACACGGGAGTTCGAAAATCCAAGTGGATCTATATGACAGACCTCCCAAGCCTCTCCATCTCTCTCCCATCTCTCGTCTCTCGTTTTCTGTTCTGCTCTCCTCGTCTCCCTGTGCGTGCATCCGTTCACGCAAACTTTTCTCCTGCCCCATGCCCTTCCAAATCGCGTTGCTGCTGTATGAACGAACCCATTTCATCCCCTTATCCCGTTTTGAATCCTCCCTTTACCGGTCTTGGACGCAAAATGTTTGTATTCAAACCACACCTCTTGGACGCCGGAAACCAGAGCTCGGAGAGAAAAGAATTGCTGTCCGTCCAGCATGACGAAGGTCGAGAAAAAAAAGGGCAAATGTGTCAAAAAGAAAGAAAAAAGTCGTAATACTTGTACAAACTCCGGCTCGCTGTCATGAAAAGCCGTGAAGCAGTTCGTCCCCTCCGAGGCAAACGTGTCGGAATTGCGTTTGTCGAGAGACCCTATTTCTTTCGTACCCTCCGCGGTTGTATAGTGAAAATGCAGCAAGCCCATGCTAAACTCCTGAAATGTCGAACTAGGAAGTCTGGTGCGGCTAGTGGTTGGGAGTTACAGACCCGCCGTTCTCGGCTGATAGGTCCTCCGTGCTCGAGTTCACCATAATGAAGTTGCCAACATCGGCGACATCCTCCGTCGAGACACGATAGAGAGAATGAACCGAGAACGTGTCGGAACCGGCGTCAAGGTCGGTTGACGCATCTCCAGTGATGCAGACGCCAGCATCATCGCGGGCGATATTGTCAGCACAAGCATCTCCATGAGGGGTGTCCTCGGCCAAATCATCGGTCAAGTTTGACCAGTCTTTGCTTAGGCTGGCGACGTTGGCGACGGCTTTGGTACCCCATTCCCAGATTGTTGAATCGCCCCAGTTGCTCAGCGTATAAGTTGAGTCAGCCCAATTCTCCTGGTAGAAGAGCTCGGCGTCGAGTTTCATTGTAGCACTAGTCACCTCGACGGTGTAAGGCGCTTCGTGCATTCGGTCGAACATGACGCCCTATGTCATCTCCCGGAGCTCTTGCTCGCTGCGACTTGTAACCCTCGAAGTGGAAGCAGGACTGGCGTTACGTCCGGCCAGGTTGTTCAGCATTCCGCTGACGTTTTTGCCGATGTTCAAGCCAGCAATTCCATCCCTCACTGCGCTGAAGGCATTGGAGTTCTCGGCCGAAACGCTTCGACGCAGAGCGGGGGCCTGTCGCTCTTGATAATTTGGCGTCAACGTAGTGTGCGTGTTCTCTACACCTCCCAGAACCGACTGGCTGGTAGGGAGAGATGGTGGCTTGGGACTTGCGGCAGATTGGGGCGGGGTACCAGGCTGGCTATTCGCGTAAGAATCCTCCGTAGTTGGGTGCAGTTCGTTCATGGCTGTAGCTCTGTTGGCTGCAGCGGTCGCCACAGCGTTGAGGTGCGAATTCATCTCCTCATCGGTCCGATTGAAGAGTTGGTGCCACCAGCGGATGTTGCTCATGTCGGGCACTATGATGCGGCTGCGGCCCTTAACATACTCATCAAAGGTCGGATCATAGTCCTTGTTGGTGAACTCTGGCTTGCGGGACAAAAAGTAGTCCCAGACCGACGAAGTGCGCTCAGACGCACGAGCCTCGTGTCTCTGCTTCTCGGAGTTGTAGAGGAAGGTGCCATATTGACAGGAGTAAAGATGATAGATTAGTCGACGAAGGAATCTCTCATTAAACTCAAACTTGGTCGGGTTCTGGCGGAGAAGCTGATAGACGCAATCTACAAATTGGTGGAACACAGGGCTGACCATCTTAGGAACAGTAGCCTCGTCTTTCGCGACTTTTCCGGTAGAACCTTCGGTAATAGCATCGAGTTCAGCCTTGTCCTCCTTGCTGGGATTGAACAGCTGCCTGGCACCAGTGAAGACGTTCTGGAAGGCATCTGCGCGGCCGTCATTCTCTCCAGGCTGAATGGTCGAGCCTGCCATTGAGTCGTTCTGGACCTTGAAGTTGTCCTCGTGGTTCAAGTGGCCACATCGAAGCCTAAACATATGGCCAAAGGCAAGCCAGTCCTTCTCGATAAGAACAATGAACCCTTCGATGGTTCGGAAGAAAGGGTCCAGCATGATCTGTGCAAGAGCACTAAGCTGACTGGTTCGGTCCCAGCCATCGGAGCAGTGAATGAGGACGTGCGACTGCTTCAGCCATACTTGCTTGGCGACAATATCGGCTCCATTCAAAACAGCTTGCGTGTGTTTCAGCCAGTTGGTGGCAGCCAGGGCGTTCTGGTCAGGAGACAAAGGAGACAGGTCGGCATCCTTGAGACAAAGCATAACGCTCTCCAACGACTTTCTCATCACATGGATGTTCTCGATGTTCATGAAGGCTTTCTTGGCACCTGGGTAGCGGTCCATGGGCTCTGACCCCATTCCTCCAATCTGATTGACCATAGCATTCACAGTAGGTCTGGCGTCGACAATCATATTGGCTTGTTGGGCACCGTAGATGAGGCGTTTGCCGTTTTCATCAAACATCTTGGGCTCATCGTCTGCGACAATCTGCTCGGAGAGCTCTCCATCTGTGGACGACTTTTCAGAAATATCTGACTGACTCAGGCGAGGAGGAGGCTGGTCTTGATCAATGCTGCTTCGGGGCATGATAGGTGCAAATGAAGCCAAAACCAGCTTCTCGTCCTGCACATTGTTCTTCCTGGTAATGCCTGAAAGAGGTTGTGAGCTGCGGGTAATAGTGCAGTTATTGTCTGCGTGGATGTAACTCAGGGCCGGAATTCTGTGTCTAGAACGATACTCCTTGGCGTATTTCAAAACGTTGTCTGAGATGCAAGAGGGAACCACCAGAACGGCGGGATAAGTGTCGCAGAAAGTATAGTCCTTGTTGATGTTGGTGATTCTCCATCCCTTATCCGACGATTTCTCGCTAATGCCCTGGCGCCGGAATTCGGCCTTGGGGTCGTAGACGCTCCAGCCATTGATCTGTCGCTCGACCTTGGAGGGCTTGTGACTGAAAGCAAAGAGCCTCTCGATGGTACCCAGCTTGCAAGTTCTGAGCTTCACAAACTCAAAGACGTCTCGAGCAACGTTATTGTCCTCAAAGTTGAAGGTGACAAAGATGAAATCGCGACAGCGGATGCGGATAGAGCTGTGAATGCCATGGGTTGGAGGCATGAGTCGGAGTATGCACTGCGATAGAATAGGATAGGTTATCCATGATTCTCGAGCTTTTGGGGGAGGTTTATCGGCTTCGTCGGCGGGCTGGTTCTTGGGAGGAGGTGGCGGCGCGCAGAAGACAAGGTGGAAATCGGTCAAGCGCAAGGTGCCGACTGAGGTGAGTCCTCCGTTGATGCACTGGACGTTTTCGACTGCCTGTATTTTTGCCAGCACAGCATGATCAGCTTTTCCCCTTTCATGTCATATTGCGCGAGAAAATTCGGTCTGTGAAAAAAGACGCATGGCTTACCTTCCTAGCCTCCATGATGAAGTGCAATGTGGAAGATGATGCTTCTTTGAGCTACTAGAGCATGGCCGCGCGCGAATGCGGAAGGCTCGGGACGTAAGTGTTTGTAGGTGAACAAGTTCACTGGAAGAAGAGCAGCAAAAAAGCTGCGCAACTTCAGTGAGGGTGGAAAGTTGAATAGGGGAAAGTAGAGACCAAAGAAAATCAATGCAACCACACGATGTTGGAGGTCGGAGGGTTGGGCTGGGTAAGGTTTGGAGGCAAGGTCAGGTAACGTGGGGAGGTACGGTTGCGGTTGTCAGGTCGGAGGTCGGCTGTCTGGGGTTGATTTTGCTGCTGCGCAGTCGCAAAGAGCAGGATCAGCAGGAAGAGAAGGAACGGCTGATCCACACCATTTACCTGGTCCCTTAGCTTAGCGCGGGGCTGAGAACAGAGAGCCGACGTCACGGCTTCCAGAGTCAGTGCTTGAGTGCCTCCAGACCGGCAAAGTTGGGTGATGTAGCCTTTTTCAAAGGAACTAAAATGCGCACTCAAGAAGTTGAACCTTTATGTGATTATGGACTACTTATTGGGTGCCATCTGACGATCTATTAGATAAGGCCCATCTGGTGAATTCATCACCAGGAGGCAAGGCAGTTTGGTAATGAATCGCACTTTGGTCTGGATCCTAAGCATCAAATGTCACCCACCTGACGCTCTCAGCTCCCCTGTGACCGTCACCGTCGTGGCCAGCACGCTGCAAGCCTGTAACCCAACAGGGGACATCCAAATTCCCACGACTCTGGTCCCCACCAAGCCGAAGCTGGCCCCTTGAAACCCCACTACCAGCCGACGGAGCTCTCTCTCCCGATGTCCCGATGATCAGCCAGCTAGCACGTGCAAAGCACTCGAATGGGGTACGTATCGATTTTGCTGACAAGAGTGGGCAGACAGGAAGAAAATGCACTTTACGCCTGACAGGCCATCACAGCTGGCAAGTGGGGGTCCAGTACCACCAGCCTGGCGCGTCTCGATAAGATGAGAGCACAGACCACAAAAGGCCAAAGGTTTCCCCTTATCGCCCGCCTCTCTAGGGCACACAGAATTTGCTCAATTTTTGCAGCGCAAAATCGATCCGGGGCACTGACGATTGGGCAAGTGTGGACTACTCGAACAACCTCACTTCTCAACCTTCCGCCCCTCCGCCGAACGAAACCGTCGACACTCCAACAATTCGTCCAACTATCCCCCCTTTTCGACAAAACCGGGCACACGAAAGTCAAGATGGCTGTTCCAGGCACTCAGATGTAAGAATTGTCCTTCCTCTGTTTCCAAATGGTGGCTTTGCCTTTGCAATATTTCCTCGAGATACTCCTCCCCGCCTATCGCCCAAATTTCGCCAATCTCGAATTTCCCCCGGTGGATGGAAAATGCTTTGGAACACGGAAATGTTGCGAGGAAAAAGGAAATGAACATTTGGAGGAACAGTCTTTGCTGACGATTCGTCTTTTTCTTCACATAGCTCTAAGCGCAGAAAGTTCGTCGCCGATGGCGTCTTCTACGCTGAGCTCAACGAGTTCTTCCAGCGCGAGCTGGCCGAGGAGGGCTACTCCGGCGTCGAGGTCCGCGTCACCCCCACGGTAACCGACATCATCATCCGCGCCACCCACACCCAGGAGGTTCTCGGCGAGCAGGGCCGCCGCATCCGCGAGCTCACCTCGCTCATCCAGAAGCGCTTCAAGTTCCCCGAGAACTCCGTCTCCCTCTACGCCGCCAAGGTCCAGAACCGTGGTCTCTCCGCCGTCGCCCAGTGCGAGTCCCTCCGCTACAAGCTCCTCAACGGTCTCGCCGTCCGCCGCGCCTGCTACGGTGTCCTCCGCTTCATCATGGAGTCCGGCGCCAAGGGTTGCGAGGTCGTCGTTTCCGGCAAGCTCCGTGCCGCCCGCGCCAAGTCCATGAAGTTCACCGACGGCTTCATGATCCACTCTGGTCAGCCCGCCAAGGACTTCATCGACCACGCCACCCGTCACGTCCTCCTCCGCCAGGGTGTTCTCGGCATCAAGGTCAAGATCATGCGCGGCTCCGACCCCGAGGGCAAGGCCGGCCCCCAGAAGACCCTCCCTGACGCCGTCTCCATCCTCGAGCCCAAGGAGGAGCAGTCCGTCGTCCAGCCCATGTCCCAGGACTACGGCGCTAAGGCCGCCCAGGCCCAGGCCGCCGCTGAGGCGCAACAAGCGGAGCAGCAGCCCGAGGCTGGCGAGGAGGCCGAGGCTCAGTCGTAGGAGACTGGCGAGCTGCAGGTTTCTTTCGAGCAGGCTGACTCTTCCAGCCCCGCCGGTTGGTAAACACACAAAAGGGGACTGGAAAACTGTTCAGCGTGAAGGGGGAATTTTTTCGAGTCTGCTTCTTTTCGTCGCACGCTTCTGTCTTCTAGCTCACTCTAGTTTTCTTCCAATACCAGACTAGGGGAATACAAAAAACGGGGTGTTTCGCGCGAAAAGACCAGCAAAAATGGGAGGACGGGGGT